GGTTATGGGTCAATAGAGATGGAAAGAAAGCTAAGATGTTGCCTTTGGACCCTGAATTTTAACAAAATGTTAAGAAGATTCTCAGTGCAGATCTTTGAGTTTTTGCTAAGATGCCTTCAGGGTTCAGGTGAACTTAGAGATATCTTAATATCAAGGGAGGAGTGTACGGTACAGTATCCGCGAGCTCATCAATGCAAGGGCATGAAACCTGCAACCGCCTTCAACCGCCTGCAACCGCCTTCAACTGCCTCTCATCATCAGAGGAAGTGATGGATCATAATTCTAGAATCTTGCTTGTAAGAGCTCCTGTAAGTTGTAAGAAGCATGGTTAGAACTCAGCGTCAGGCTACATGTATCTCTATCGTCCCAGTTGACCTTGGTTCCAGCATACATGTAGCATTGTTCCAGCAGTTGGACTGACCTGTTTGCTTCATGAGAGAGTTGCAAGCATGAATGATGCTACTCGTACCAATGCTGAATTGGAAATTGTTTATCAACTATCACGTGGAGTTGTTGGTTGGAAACGTTGGAACGTTGGAACATCAGATCTAGCTAGCTGCTGCTGTAGCTGTTGCTGGGTTGGCCAACAACTAAATCACCCCAAGAGCTCTATAACTAGCTAGCTAGCTAGTAAGAGTGCAAAGCAAGCACTGACTGTTCGCAATTTGTCAAGTTTGCCATGGTTGCGGTGTGGCTGCAGTGTTCAGAAGCAAGACCCGTAGGACCGAGTGACTCTTCGGAAAGCAAGAAAGTACGTACTACGTAGCTGGTAGCTGGTATTAATAGCTGAAAGTAAACATCATACCTGTACTACTGTAACATATCAGTACTTGCTTGGCTGCCTTGGGTAAACCGTATTACTCCGTACTACAACATGTAATAGTACAAACTCCGTACACTACATGTAGTACTCTAGAATCTGCTTTTACAGCTGCTCGACCAGCTCGACCATGGAGCTACCGGTACTACCCTTTACTAATACTCTTCTTGAGTTGGAGGATGTTGGAGGCAATAGAAAAAGGGCTTCCTGCAGCCTCTTCAAGCCTTCACCTCTGTGATTTTGCCCTTGGCAGGCCGAACCCAGCAAGGTCATTTAAGACACATTTATTGATCCGACATTTAATTTCTGCTTCAGGTGACTTTCTAAGAAAGATCACGGTGGTTCGGACATATTCCGACCTTGAAACAATAAGTAATCGTCAGTGACCTGACTACTTCCAAGCCACTCTAGCAGTTTCAGTAGCATAGCTGTACCCACCATCAGAAACTCCAACGCTTTAAAGCAAGTCCCCTCCTGTCTTTCCCTTAGCTCTTCCCTTCTTGTTCGGACATCAGTTCAATTGGGAACCCAGTTTCGTTGAGAAGCAATGATGTCATTGAGAATACTTAAGAAAATATGTCGCATGAAAAATGGCCAAGATTTTATTAACATAGAAATCCCGAACCAGGGACAACCGATAATGACGTTCTGCAAAGGTTGACTTAAAACTTTTAATTGTGTTTAACCGATTTACGGAGCGACCGAGGCTTCCCCGAAGCTCAGTACCGCGCTCTCTCGAGAACCACCTGAAAGCTGCTTCTTGATTTTTTTGGTTTTCTTGGAGGGTGGAGAGCCGAGCTCTACGTGGGTCCTGGTACATTTCTGCGTTGAAGGGAAGCCTCATCAGAGCTCCCGAAGCCTCTGGTAGCTCCTCTGGTCCAACTCTCCAAAAACCACCCTAAACACCCCACAAAAAAATTCTCCAGAGAAAAAGAAGTCCTTCGGAGATCCGTCTGTATTGCATTGGATCTTGACCAAGTTGTTCAGCGTAACAGCCCACAAAGTATTGCCACCATGCACTACCTCGGAATGAACAGTCCAATCTCAGTGACAGATAATGCTGGTCCTCAGCAGGGAGTCTCTCAGCACTGTCTCTTGATCCGAAACGCTGCCTACTTCAATCGAGAAGGCGCTACCCGCCTCGTTACTGGGGACTTGGACGGCGCGTTTGCTCCTCTCTTTGCAGCTCTCGAGACGCTGGCTCTTGCCGGGGGCTTGCTGCCGTCGCAGGGGATCCTATCTGCCTACTTTGCTCGAACGTTTCCCTTCGAGCAAGCGCCGAAGCGTCCGTCTCCAAAAAACACCCGCCCCAGCCGTGATGAAGGATCCTACTTTGTCTACGGAAATCCATTCGTCTTCCAACCCATCGATGTGGATACCCCTGAGTATGCCACAAACTGTACTGCGGTCTGTTTGTTCAACCTGGCGCTGGCATATCACAAGAGAGGTCAATTGGCAGACTCTCAATCTCTCTTTCGTGCCCGAACCCTCTACGCCATGAGCCTTCAGTTGGTGGACAGCATGTCCTGCCAGGCGGCGTGTGCCAATCTCAAGGTCGCTGGAACCAACAACAAGGCCCACGTTCACTTTGAAGTAAGTGATGTGTGCGATGCCAAGAATACCCTTCGAGATCTTTTGATTATCCTCGGCACCAAGGGCCATCCACCACCCTTTGCCGAAGATGAAATTGAAAAGTTCTACATGAACATTTTGCACCTGAATGGATCCACGTTGGCGGCTGCAGCCTGATTACAAAAATACAATCGAGAGCCCTCCTTATCATCCTCCTGAACAGCATATCCTTGCTTCTGACCAAACTCTGTACATACATTACAGCAAGGGAAAGGCGAAAGCTACCCACAAAACTCCAAGCAAGAACGAGAACGTCCCTTATTCTATTTACTTTTTCAGCTTGTTGGATTCCCAGTACATTGTATAGACCTTTACATTTTCTAAACGTTACAATTAAGTTATAGTGAACAACATCATCTATCTAATCTATTGATCTAGCTCTACTATAGGCAATGGATTACTCTGAGTAGCATGAATTCCCGTAGCGAGATGCTGGTGCTGTCTTCTCGTATCCAGGGCAATAGGTGGGTCCGACCCGTCACCGCACCTGTCAATCGATAGCCATGGGCCGCAAATGGCCTTGCTCGGAGGATGAATCGCATCCGCAGCTGCCGGACCAAATCAAACACGATACTATTGTGGAAGTGCAGCTAAGGTCTCCTCGTGACCAGTATGATTGCTTGCAGACATCAGCTCAGCCAGTGATCGATGAGTGCCTATCGTTACTCTACTGCCTGCCCAATGAACTGATTGGTAGCCAGTCTAACGGGAAGCTAGCTAGTAGATAGTCAAGTCAAAACTGTGCTGAAGATGCTCGCTCTCGTTGGTAAGACAAAACTTGGAAAGCTCCAAGGAGCGAATGTACTCAGAGGCATTCAACCTGCTTTCTTGGCACCATTTGCCTTCTTGCCTTTTCTTTGCTTCCTGAGGTGGCTTGACCAGAGGTTTTCAAGAGCATCATCGTCCAGAGTGAGAATCTTGTTGACGAGCTCCTGTCGACGATTCAGCTTTTGGATTTTGTTGGACTTGGGTTCGTGGGTCTTCTTTTTCCCTCGTTTGGCTGCCAGCTTTCCAAGAGCTTTGTTCAAGGCATTGCACCTCAAGAAAGAGTTGGACTGCTTTTTCACACCAAGAGCCTCCTCCAGCGGATCAAGGTCGTGCCCGCCCAAGAAGAGAAGAACGCGAAGCCTCACTTTTTCTGGAAGGTTTGGAACACGTTTCATGGAGACCCCCCGGTTGGAGCCAGCGGTGGGGACAAGCTTCTTGGAGCTCGAACCATACGAGAGTTCTACTTTGTCTAACAGTGTCTCGACGGAGAACCCAGATTCTGGGCAAATGTCGCCTGCAAGTCTTGTCAGCGGCAAGCGAATATCGATCATGGATCCTAGTCGCACTCTGCCTCCTCCCAGTTGTGCTCTGTATTCAGTGGCTGTGTCCTTCTTGGGCATTTGTTCTGGAACCGGCTGAGGTGCATCCGTTGGTGCTTTTTTACCCAATCCAAGACTTTGCATGACTTCTGTCTTGATACCTGCAAACACAGGAGCAACTGGCCAAGGAAGATTGATTTCCAACGCTCCGAGCTGACAATTGATAAGAGTGCGAGAGCTTTCACTATCTGTCTTTGGCTGGTTGCAAACTTCCAGCAGTCTCAGCTGAATTCCATGTCGCTCGCGCGACTCGTAGACCATGGACTCGACCGTCGCAGGAACATCTAGCAGGGCGCAGGCTGTCGTCGGCCAAGGGGGCCGTTGGCCGCGATTGATAGAAGTCAACTCAGCAAGTGTCGCAATGCCGCCATCATGCGACGGAGGAGGAATACCAGCAGATATCAAGACCTGCTTTTGAACTCCTTTGAACTCGTCGAGTGATAGCAGACCACAGTCTAGCCTCAGATCCTGGAAATTCTTGTGCTCATCAGCGGTGAGCTTTTGCTGATCCAATGTCAAGCCTTGCAGTTTTGCATCCCAATACATGAAAGAAAGACCTGCATTGTGTCCCGGTCCGTCGTCTGCTCGCATTACATGTACCCGCAAACGAATCTCGGCGACGAAGACACCCAGTATCTGAACGTGTTCGGGCTTCATGTAGGCAGGGAATGCTGGCGGTAGCGGCATCGATTTTCGTCGTCTAGGGAAGAAGCTCCCTTCATTGGTATCATCGATGTTGGACGTGCTTCCAAAGAACAGGCTGGAAAAATACCCTCGGCTCGGTTCAGGTTGCTCAACGACGACTTCTGCTACGGGTGGATTGTCCTCAGTGGCATCAGGTTCAACTTCAGCCTCCTTTGCAGTATCGACAGTTTCCGGGTTTTCTTGCTCTTTCTTCTTGAAGAGGCTTATGACAAGTCCCAAACCATCAAGGGAGAGTCGATCGACGTTGAGTTCCAGTGGTTCGCGCAGTGAAACCGAAAGGGCCAATCCTGGCATGGGTGTGTTGGAATCCAGGATCTGGAAATCATTGGAGTTTCCTTCTTCGATCTTTCCTGTTTGTTTCCAGCAACGGAGGCAGTTTTCACACGGCAGATGCTCCAACTTGCATCGTGCTGGCGTCATCCCTCTTGCTACTCGGAAGAAACAACTCTCCATTTGGCTGCTCTGGATCCCATTGCGATCTGTTTTGTAGACTTGCGACCTCAGCAATCCCTGATCATCCCCCTCATCCGAACTACGACTCGTTGTCGCATGTGAGGCTGCTGTGTTCAAGGGAGGGAGAGTGTTTGGGGTGGGGCCTGGAGCGACGTGATCAAAACCATACAAAGTATGGTCTATGCCTTCATACGTGTCCGGCTCGGTAGAATACCAAGACGAATTCGCCTCGGCGAGCTCCCTCTTAGTCCCAAGAAATATTCGAGCCTGAATGTCGAGCCCAGAACACTGTAGTACACGGTGTCTGGTTGCTTCAAGCCACTCTTGCCGAGCCCACTGGTATTGTTGCGTGCGCGGTGGAGGCCTCCAAGAAGCAGATTTTTCGCGTTTGGGGGTCAGAACGTTGAGCCAAATACCACCATCAGCACCCTTTCCTGTTCGTATCCGTCGTTCCATGTATTCGTTATCAGGCGAAGACCCTGATTTGCTCGTCTGGGTTTTGATCGGTGTGATTGGCGGTTGTTGACCTTCTTGTGCTGCATCGTCCGTATTGAAAGGCGTGAGAAAGTCTTCTCCCTCCGTAACAGACAGTAGCCCAATGCCAACATCCACAACCACGTCTGCACTGTCGTCTTTGGTGGGTATATCCTCCTCTTGTTCGTCCTCTTCATCCTTTGCACTGACATCGGGAGGAGATTCGTTAGATTTGTCATCCGATCCAGTACTACTCCGAACAACCAGCCGAACCACAATGTCGCGCAAGAATAGATGGGGGACACTGGAAAATATTCTTGCAATGGATTTGACGCCAGGACCCTTTCTCCCGTTGTTTTCAGCTCTTCAATATTGATTGGAGCAGCAGCTGGTGCTGCATTTGCTTGTTTCTTTTCCGTTTCCCCCGTTTGTGCATCTGCGGTTGCTTTTTGCGTGCCGTCTCCCTTTTCATTGGAAGCTGGCTCCTCGTCTTTTCTAACTGCTTCCAATGCCAAAAAGGCGTCTTCCACAAGTACGTGGAGTTCACGACCCACGAGACGGACATCCAAAGTCCCAATGTATCCACCCTCTCCAATACAGAGTGCCATGGGAGGCAACGAACGTTCATTGTCATTTTCATCCTCTGTGGAGGGTGGTGGTGAATCCGTTTCTCCCTCGTCGCTATCATCTTCGGAAGCCAGCTCTGGGAGTTGATCGTCAATTCCCTGTTTGACAGCATCTGCCTCCTTTTCCATATCGAGCACATAATTTTCAGAATGATGATGGTGATGATGCCCATTCATTTGCGTATCAGACTCCTGATGGTGATTGTTGGCGTGTTGGCTGAGTAGAGGTCGAGTCTGCTCGTCTTCCCGTTCTTCCTGCGACGGTGTTTCGGATGACAAATTGGCATCTTGCTCTCTCTGTTCTTCTACTTTGGGTTTTTTAATGTCGGCTTCTGAATGAGCAAAACAGGACAGGAAGCCAATGCTGCTGTCCTGTACGGGAGTGTCTGGTCGTGTAATACTTTCCACATCCATTGATGCGATACTCCTGTCCAGTTCGTCCACCAATTCGTCCAAATCTGCATCCAAATCCTCCGTGGACGGAGCGTTGGCAATTCCATACTTCTTCATTAGTAGCTCCTTGTCTTTTTCCTCTATGGATACCATATTGCGGTTCCCATTGCAATGCAAAGGCGTGATCAACTCCGCCTCGTTTTTGTCGTGTTCGGCATTTTCCGTCTCGGTGGCGTCTTCTGCTGCGTCCTTGGATATTACTGCATCCGTTGTAGTGCCATTATTGTTCTCATTATTGGCATTGGCATCTTTGGGCTTGGGTTTCCGTTTAGTGCCCGGCAAAATCATGAGCTCGGCACCTTCTCGCAGCTTGACGTTGCTAAGGCGAACACCCCATCCAGAAGCGTGGCCGTCCGTGCTGTAGAGCGAGGGCATTTCGACTCCATCCACGTCCACATCGGAAAGATACTTGTAGAGAAATGTCAGAAGGGTCTTGGACAGCAGCGTCAATGCGGCACTTCGTAGCATGGACATGGTGGAAGGATAATACTCGCGCTACTTCAAAGAACAAAATCCGACTTGTCCAAAGGGACGACAATGGAAACAGAATCTCAATCACAATCGAATCGAATCCTTTTTGCTTGGTAATGATTATACCCCACCCGCCAAAAATCCGATGAAGATCACAAAATCTTCTGATCGCTGAGATAACAAAGATGGAAAATGCAGCACTGGTACTATCTTCTCGTCATTGTCACTACTACTAGCAAGTAGATCAAAACCACAGTGCTTGGATCACAATGAGCTATCTATGCTGGGTAATACGTTGGCTTTTGGCTTTGAGCTCAGAAGATGTTTGTTGGTTTGTGGTTTGGCAGCATTGTGCAGTAACTATTTTTATTTTTAACTCTTTCCATTCCTTTTGCGAAAGGATTTAAATCCTTGATTCCAAAAGATTTAACGAAAACCAGTCCACCTACATCGTACCGGTACCATGCAGCTCAAAGTTGTGTTTGAGTATTCTAAAGTACTGTAGAACAGATGAAGAAGATGTTGTGCCCCCTCCAAGCACAAGCAATAGTAGGTGAGGAAGATGTTAGCTCTACAAAGAAGGGCTCCATCGACCCACGAAGAACTTTCACTCAGAAGTGACAAAGATGTCCGCTCCCCAAGCAGCACAGCAGTGGACCTTGATGTGTTGCCGCACAGAAAGCTGACGGGGTAGCTAGTGTTGCCTCATCCAAAACCTTGACCAATACCGGACTTGAACCGATGACCTTCGGATCTGGAATACGATGCTCTGCCAACTTAGATAAAAGGGTAGCTGGAACAATAAATTGCTTGCATTGAGCCCTTAAAAGATCCCTGATTTGACATATAGATGCCTTACTTTGTCTAAGACCAGCCCAAAGTTTCAATCATGTAGTTTTTTTCTCACATTGGCGCAGTCAAGGCCGATCCCACTGGCCAACATGTAAAGCCAATCACCTCATCAGTAATAGCTGTCCAATACATAATCAGAAATGTATAGCATCTAATGACCTTCTATTGCTTCATTGTCCTCATTGCTTGACCAAGTCTCCTTCGGATTTTTTGTTTAAAGCTGCAGAGCTAATTGCCATTCCGTGCGCGCGCGACTACCTGGTACCACCGTGAATATCTTTTCGAAAAGTGAAGGGGGGACGAAAATCGTTCCAAAATGACAACTCTCAGAGCTCTACTACACCACAAGACGACGACGACTCGACTCTCAAAGATCTCCACCACCATGTCGTATAGTAGAAGACGCCGCAACCGAACAACTCTGTGCTACACAGAAGAAATCTCGAGTGACGATGACATGAGCCAGTACGAGGAGAGCCATATCGAAGCAGGCCCGAGTGATGATGACAATATCGAACACGAGGTCAAAAAGCCGCGAGCAAAGAAAAAGCGTCCACAATCACATTGGTGGAGGAGGATACGACGACTAAATGAAGTTCTGATACAGATGCAGAGTGCGAGAGCGATGATGGCAGTCGAGGTGATTTCTCGTCCACCGCTCTGAAGTGGTTGGGAACGAGGTTTGCTCCGAAAAGCCCTCATGTCTTGTCCATGGAGGAGCAAATGGAGGCGTTCGACAAAAAGTTCCACCTTCAAGAAGCCGTCAACAACACCAATGCCTCACCAGAGTTGAAGGAGAAGTACAGGAAGGCTGGTCGACTGTTGCGCAGGGCTCTAGAGGAGTACGAGCCTCACTGGTTGCCAAAGAACCTCACTCGTAATCGTCATGGTTTATACGTCATTGTCTACAAGAACGATCAAGATCGGCATGTCATTTCAGTGCATTACCCTAGTCAAGGACCAAGGCGGTGTCGTCTTTGCTTTCTTGGAGATGGATCTCGAGGAAATCAAAGAACTCATCTCCGACAAAGGCGTTGACGCAATTGTGCAGCTCGAGCTGCCAGGTCTCGCATGCCACAAGGACAAACAAGAGAAGGCGGACGATCTCATTCGACTACAGAGCCCTTTTCACAAAGCATCTGGACAACAAATGCCACCGCCAAGGAAAGGGCACGCGATGGCTGGAAGGAGCAGAAGGAATAGATACAATGGCAGATGCTGAATATGCATTTCTTGTCCAACTATTGTTGATCACTGAGTTATGCAGCAGGTGAGCGACGTCGTTATCGCGAGGTTCGGGAGGCGCACTGGTATTTTTGGTTCGCTCCGTCGAAATGGATTACTCGCCGTGAATTAGTATTTCGATGATCCCTACTAGTCTACTTACCACCGGAACATTAAACATGAAGATGCTGCCTCTCTAGTCCACAATGATGAGTCTTCTTCTTTGTTTTGCCAACGGACTTTCGTCGAAACTGAGACTGGGGACTCCACTCCTCGGCTACACTGTACACTGAACATGTACTCCGTGCGGTCTGAAGTCTTGAGCTCATTCGTCGAGCGTCGCCGGTTTTTAGCAAACGTGATGCCGAAATGACCGGGCCCGCGGGAGGAACATGTGCGATTGAAAGCTCTGCTGGCTTCGAGAGAAAGCAAAAGATGAAGCCGCAACTGCCGCCACAACTGTCGTCATGCCTCTCTAGCTCTCTCATTTCTTTGTTCCAAGACCACCACCACAACCATGCACCATCAATCCTTGGCCACCAAATGACCCTTCTATGTTGCTTTAGATTCGATTCCTTTCCAGGGAAGAGTAATTCTCTTGGGTTATCCCATTGCGCCTATCGGGTCTATGCGTCTATACATCATGCCGCACCGGGAGAACACTTCGCCAACGACCGGTAGCCATGTCCTCGCCGCGCAGTACATGATGCGCTGACACCCCGCTCTGATTCTTCATTGATGACGTTATTGTGCAGTATCTCTTATCAACGAGTGTCGCTGCCGGTATCTACCTTACGTTACCAACCTACAAAACAGGCACCTCCTGTGTTCCCGCGATCCCACGGCTCGACCCAACTGGAACCAGCCAGATCCAAGTGTGCTACGAAGTATCCTGAACAAGAACGCCAAGGAGGACTGTCTCTCGTTGCAACAGAATGATCGAGATGGAAGATTCCCTTCCTACCGTATCTATGGCGCCATCTGATGCGACGAGCTACCAGACTAGACAAGAACCAAGCTCTTGAGACGGCTGATCCATTGAGGAAATCAGAAGGGCATTTATTTTGTTATAAGCTAAAGGAACGGCTGGACGCAGAGTTTGATCAATACCATGACATGACAGCCGTGCACGTCCGGTCTTGACTTTGCAAGAGGTGTCAGAACAACTAACATTGGTGTGCTCAAGGAGCTTCCAGCCAAATTCGGACTTGGAGCGATGATGACAATGTATTGATGCGTTGACGTCAACAAAAGCTGGATGATGCAAGCAATCCTGGCGATGGCAACAGCGTTGGCCCACTCACGAGTTCGGGGGATTAATCCCACCAAAACGGAAGAAGATTGGCAAGGCCAACGCAACAATCTACATACCACTGAGTATCTATTTGCTAGCTAGCTATTGGAACAAAAGAGTCTAGCTAGCTACTAGTAGGGGACAAAGGCACCACGCAAGTGGCCTAAAGATCGGCAACACTTACTACGCACCTCGTCTGTTTTGGACAAAGATCCACCGCAATCTGCAACTTGAACAGCAACAGAGAAAAAAAGACGCAACTCGCTAAGTCTGGTGAAGCCGTCACACACTTAGACAATCCCATTTTTCAAAGGGTATTCGAGCGAGGAGCCATGATATGGCCCCTATGAATTCAAGCCATCCTTTGCCATTTTTCGTTATAGAGGCTGCCTGCCTACATCGGTAGTGGTGGTTGGTGGTGTGAAAATTATTAATTTATTCGAAATAGCACCCAAACTATAACGACAAAGCTGACGTTGCTGCTTTGATTGGCCATTGGCGGTTCATTGACAGCTGCCTTGTGTCTCCGAGTTCTGTTTCGGCCTGGATAATGTGAACATGTGCATGGATGGCTGTATCGCCCAACTCGCAGTTAGAGAAGGAGCATCGCCTCAAATCCCAAATTTGTCTCACAATTTTGAAGCAAAATTGCTGTTGTGACAAGTGGCAGTATAACCAAGCGACAACCAAGAAGAACAAGAAGATCTCGATCTTTTCCATCACATCCTCACTTTCCATCTCCTATTAGTTTGTTACCATGGCTTCTGCAGATCCTCCCGGTTTCCGTACTCCCGAGATGAGCGAGGAGCTAGAGCAACTCCGTCAACGAGGACTTGCCAAATCGCTCAACAAACATTTTACGAATGAATGCAAAAAAGTGGAAGCGGAACTCGCCGCTGCCGATTTGGCTCTGCGAGAACTCGAAACACGAAAGACCGCCGCAGACCAAGAGGAGTTTCTTCAGCTAGAAACCATGTACATGAAAGTACTAGAGTGGAAGAAAGTATGTCGGAAACGAGAGCAAGAGACGGTGCTATTGTATGCCAAGTACTGCGAGAAATTCGGCAACAGTATCAAATTGGCCAAGCCCGAAGAGATCTTTACTCCGAGAAAGGACCCACCCACAAAGGCTGCACCAGATTCACCGCTTGTAATGGCCGATGTGGATGCTCTAGCGAAAGCATTTGAAGAAGGTATCCCCGACTTCTTGCGTCCGGTAGAAGCGTCGGCTCCTTCGTCGTACAACCCGCAGCAGCTGGCCGAGATTCTGGAAGATGCTTCCTTATCCGACTCTGGCAAAGTCAAGGTATTCACTGGAACGCCATGTACAACTGACGCTACGGAAATGGGATCCGAGTTTGATGATTCCTCCATTGTGTCGGGCTTGACGACACTGAACAGCCAAGTCACCAAGGAAGTGTTGCAGACGGTCCACAAGAATGTTCTCGAGTTTATCAAGAGCGAGACAGAAAACATTCGCAGGCTCATGGAAGAAGAAGACGCTATGAGCAAAGCGGAGTTCAGTGTTCAAGGCAGTCAGCATTCCTCTTCTCAGGTTGAGGCCATTCTGGAGCATGAAAACATGGTCAAGAAGATGCAGCAAGTTCTGGACGACTTTAAACAGGCCGAAGCGGAAACAGAAAAGACGTTGAAAGGCACGCAAGGTCGTCTCGTGGAAGGTGCTGGAAATGAAGGAGAGTGCTGGTACGAGCAGTGGGATGAAACCTTCCAGCGAAACTATTATGTGGAGATCAACTCCAAGACAACGCAGTGGCACAAGCCATCCACAGTCAGTGTCGAGAACAGCTCCTACAACTCTCTTGGCGATTCTGCGGAATCCAGCGTTCTTTCCGAAGCCCATCCAGTAGAACCAAAGGTGTTGGACTTTGACTTTAAACCGGACATGAGAGCTGGTTCTCGTAACCGCCTAATCTTGTACAAGGCAAAGCAATCACGAAAGAAGAAGCGTCAGATGACTACTGTTGCGTTTCTACTGGCTGGACTTGCTACTGGATTGGCATGCTACGGATATGCCAACCCTGAGCAAATGGACTTGGCTCTTGACGCATTGACCAGTAGGTTTTCGTCGGCTGGTGCCTCTGTGGAAGAAGTGCCAGTGGCCAAGAAGACTAACAAGAAAAACGTAAAAAAGCCAGCTGCCAAGAAGGATGTCAAGAAGCCAGCTACCATGAAGGATGTCAAGACTACCCAAATGCCGGCTGTGGAAGACAAGCAAGAGAAAGAAGCAGCAAAGAAGAAGCCCGCAGCAGAGATCAAGCATGAGGATGAGACCAAGACATCGCCAACCCAACAGAAGGTTGCTGAATACAAAACACCAGTTCCTGTGCGCCCTGCCTTCATGTCAGAATCTACCAAGGTCGTATCCAAGGCCAAGGAGGAAGAAGACTTGAAGGGAGTGGCACCGATTGGCTCTGAAGCAGCTCCTCATTGGATTCGAGATGTGTTGGTCGGACACCACGCATTCAAGAAAGTGAGCAAATTGTGTCGCGAACCGTCCACATATTGTGGATCGTACCGTGCTTGAGTGTGTGAGTATGCAAGTGTTACAGCTTAATTGCATTGAAACCAACAACTAGAGAAAGGTGGGCACAGCATCAAAACGGGAAGGAACGAGACTTATCGGCGACAAAGAGGCGAGATCCGACCAAAACGCTACAGAACTAGAGACAATACGCAAACCTTCAGAGTATAAACAACAAAGAATCGACAGAGAAGAAGGCAGGGACCACCATGGCCAATACACATAAAGAACGGCCGAGTCGAATCCCCTCATGTATGTATTGCGGATTGTAACAACAAGAGAGACAAAGATAGAATAGCTAACATACAAAACGCCTACATGAAGCTCAAGCGCAACACCTTTGGTTTTACAAAGTCCATCAAATGAAACACACATACCGGTACGGTAGTGGTAGTAGTAGTAGATGCTGAGTCAACGGTGTGCATGAAGTTGATGATTGCCGCGTGGCGCATCTCAGCGCATTCAAGCAAGCAGAGTGACCGACAGCTTCCCGAAGTCATTCAGTTGTTGCTGTTCATCAAGCCTAGCTAGGCTTTGTACTGCTCTCATCTCTGTTTGGCACCCCTGCCCCCTTGTTGCTTGACCTGAGACTGAGACGGCCTCTTTGTTGGCACTGTCTGTAGTTTGGGCAGTCTTTGGCCTAAAGTAGTGCTCTCTATGGGGGATGTAGCGACACAGTACTTTGCTTCTCTCAACTGAACCATTCTTCCAATCATCACAAGCTTTGCGTTTCTTTGCCTTAGAAGCTTAGCTTGGCCCTCTTATGCCTGGGTTGCTGACCTCGCAATGCCAGACAAATCCCCAGACAAGTGGTGTCATCTCTATCTGACCGTCGTGTACAAGAGAAAGGCCGATACCACTTCCTTCCCTGCACTACATGCCCAAGAGCGCCAATCTGGCGAAGATTGGAGACAAACAGAAGCACTCTTGTAGCTACAGGTATCTCGGCCGCTCAGCCAAAAGTGCCCCCGCATCAGAGAGTGTCGTGAAACGTATGGATTGGAATTTCGTATGGGAGCAGGGCGATTTGATTGTGGACGTCGCTTTGGTCCCCTCCTCCGCACAGCATCGAATGCCACAACACGACGGTTCTTCTTTGGGGACTCTGCCATGGCCAGAACCGTGCAAGCAGATTCCCCTTTTGCACTTGATCGTCACAACAAGCAACTACTGTAGCTTTCAACCTATAGGTATGCCATACCGCATGCAGCTATCCAGGAGCAGCAGTAATCAAGCATCTGCTGATGACAAATTCCCAGCAACTACTAGCATATCGATATAGTAGATGAATTCCCATCATGTTAGCTGATGACATGTGTAGAACGGAGGGGTTCCGGCACCACTACCGCTAACTGTACCGCTACTAGTAGTAGCTAGTACACGTACCGGTATCGGTACCGGTACCGGTACCAGAAAGCAAGGGAAGAGCCGAAGAGCTTGGTCTCATTTTTTGGTCTGACCCTCTTCCGTGTGGACGTCATCGTTGGATGGAGGATGGAGGTGCCAGGCAAAGCACATCACAAACAGACTGCAAATGGGCACTGTACCGACACCAGTATCCAATTGCTTTCGCAACTAGCTAGCTAGCAAAGCATCTCCTACCGGTAGATAGCTATATAAGAAGAGACTGAGGCCCAAAAGGAAAGGCAGTTGTCTCTGGCAAGGAAATGGAATGAAGATTGTTTGTGGAAGTATCGCAAGGTATTATCTGCTGGTCTCCTGCATGATCACGGCAGCTTTGGCGTGGTCTCCACGTGTGACACCCAGACACAACCTACCTCAGCAATCCTTGCTGTTGCTGAGACTAACAGCACAACGATGGGTTCCCAACGCAGTTTCGTTTCGGTTGTATTCCTCCTCCTCATCCGATAATAATCACAAGAAGCGTGTCGTATTTTTGGGGACACCTGAAGTGGCTGCCACCACCTTGCGAAGCATCCATGAGGACTCCATCAAAGAAGGCAGCTGCTATGACCTCGTGGGTGTCGTTACGCAGCCCCCCAAAGCTCGAGGGAGGAAGAAAGACAAACTGGAACCCAGTCCTGTTGCTTTGGTAGCAGAAGAACTGGGCATTCCAGCCATGTGGCCCGTCAAGGCAAGTCAAGCACCATGATATCATTTTACGCTGGGCAGTGGGTCGGAACCTCATCTCACCCTTTCTTTTCTGTCATCTCCATCTGCAGGCAAACGACAAGGAGTTTCTGGATAACCTAGAATCCGAGGTAAAGCCTGATTTATGTATCACTGCTGCCTATGGACAATATCTACCGAAACGATTCCTCGCCACTCCCACATTTGGAACCGCCAACATCCATCCATCGTAAGTGATTGAGTAGATGATGTCTTTGGAGCAATCCTCATTCGAAACTTACAATGTATATCTGCCATGTACATAGTTTGTTACCGCGGTGGCGAGGGGCAAGTCCTGTGCAACGAGCGCTCGAGGCCGGAGATCAACCCTTGGGAGTGACTGTCTTGTTTACCGTGTCCAAGATGGATGCAGGGCCCATTATTGCTCAAAAGGAGGAGCATGTAGATGAAAATGACACGGCAACCAACCTATTACCTCACCTTTTCTCGATCGGCACAGATTGCTTACTGGAAGCCATGCCCAAGCTCTTGTCCGGCGAAATTACCATGGAAACTGCCAAAGAACAGGACGAAGATGCGGTCGTCAATGCTGACATGATTGCTTCCTCCGAGGCTGAGCTGCAGGTTTGGGAAATGTCAGCCAAAGCATGCCACGATCGATTGCGAGGATTTTCCATGTGGCCAGGTGTATTCATCTATGTGCAGGTAATAGGAGAGGACGGCGAAAGTGTGGGTAATCCCTTCAAAATGAAAATCCATGAAACCAGAGTGATTCCGGAACCACAGGATCCCACCAATGTCATAGCATTGGGTCCAACCAAAAAAGATGGCCTCCGATTGGTATGTGGTGATGGGTCTGTGTTGGAAATGCTTCGAGTACAACCTGCTGGGAAAAAGGCGATGGACGCGAAGAGCTTTGTCAATGGATACCCCAAGAAAACAATTCAATGGGTAAAGCCAGAACCAGCAAGTGATTAGAATTGCATAGGTCATATTGGCTCCCAAAAGTATTGCCAAGAAATGGTATTGGAGCAATCTATAGAATGAACTTTTGCCTAGCTATTTGCTTGGTTGGATTTCTCTTTGTGTGATACCTGATACCGGTACTAGCTAGCATGAGGGGATTTCAGTCTTATTATCTGTATGGATGACAACATGTACTCCTATTTCATCTTCAATTTGTCCAAATTGGAGGCAGTGCCAAACAACTCATCCCAGAGCGTAAAGTACTCTCCATAATTTCTGGCCTGGCCTTGATAATTGGAGTAACGATGATGGTAATCATGAAAGTTATTGTCAGCTCTTCCAGGAAGATATTTGAAAAAGAGAATGGAGAGAAGGGGAGAGGTCATGCCACAATGATGCACCACATTTTGACTGACTCGAAAGAAACAATGGCCCCAAAAGGAAACGGGGTGGGCCCGAGCCGACAGCCCGGCCAATAACATGGGAATTGAGGCTTGCAGTGTAGCATCAATTCCATCGATACACGCTGCCGACAAAGCCGAGGGAGTTCCCAGTTGGTGATGTTTGGAATGAAAATTCTCCCAGAGGTACTGACTTGAATGTTGGACTCGATGACCCCAGTAGAGGGAAAAATCACCGACAATCTCCATGATTATCATTTGTAGTGTAAATTGTGCCAACGTGGGCATTGTTCGTTCCACAGCAGGCATCCACAGAGGAAGCAGGTATCCAGCCGTGACGGCTCCAATTATCGCCGTGGGACCGCACATTTGCATCAACGAAACTTTTGCTTGATGTGCTAGGCTGATTTGTGCTCGGCATTCGGCCAACTCCTGGCGACGATTCTTCTGGTTGCCGTATTCAATGAGATGAAACCACTTGTTCCAAAAGGATGAATCATCCTGCATGAGTTTGTTCAGAATCAGTTCCAGGGGAATGGCGGTGCCCCAGAAACCAATATTGACGGCAAGGAAGGGCACGAGCCCCCACACAATCCACGGAGTTTGCATCCAATTCAGACCCCAGTCGTTCTCTTCGATCATGTTGTTTCTGTTGTTGTCTGTGAGAGAGACGTTTCTATGGGTTAGAGGGGACTATGGGATCAAGGATAGTGGGTTTGCTTTTTTTTGCATGCAAAGGGACGTGTACTATACAATTAGTGGAATGCCGCCTCATACTGGTACTTCGATCTTGCCTTCACGGAAGCAGCCCGTTCTGCGTGCCCACGGCAGCCGCCGCAGTACAGTACGTTCCACACTACAAGAGCTACCGGTTACTGGTACCACAAGTCACCAAACACGGAGGCTGCCGAAGGGGTGAGCCCTCAACAAGTTTGATTTTGATTGGCAGTGGCTAGGCAATCCAGGCTACCTGGCTGCAGCTGTACTAGTAGACCTAGCTAGCCAGCCATCTGTTTCTCTTTGTTGAAAAGTAACATGCTCGGGAGTCGAACCCTCAGACCATGTCAGCTACCAAGTGTGAATTTTACCCTTCTAACACCCTCCCAGAATTCTCAGCTTGGGAGCGGCTGTTATCCTATGCACTCATACCATGGAGCTACACTTCACTAGTGGACCCTCCCATGTTCTCTTATCTGTCTCATCAGAGCTGGACCACACTCTGCCTGTTGACCACTCATCACACTCCTCAGCAGCAGCTGCACATGACGTCTCCAGGGTCATCCGGATAATGTTACCATGTTGAAAAGTAACATGCTCGGGAGTCGAACCCTCAGACCATGTCAGCTACAAGTGTGAATTTTACCCTTCTAACATTCTTTTGGCAGTCTACCGCTATTAGGGTTAGGGGTAAAACTGTGACACACAAACCAACAAACACACAAACATACAAATAAAATTCAGGCTGCTGAAGGCATGAGCCCTCAACGAGTTTGATTTTGATTGGCAGTGGCTACATCGTAGGCAAGCCAGGCTAGCTGGCTGCAGCTGTAGACCTAGCTAGTACGTAGCCAGCCATCTGTTTTTCTTTGGTAGTCTACTTCTATCAGGGTTATGGCTAAAAACTGTGACACACAAACGGACAAACGGACAAACGGACAAACGGACAAACGGACAAACGGACAAACGGACAAACGGACAAACGGACAAACAGACAAACAGACAAACAGACAAACATCCAAACAAAATTCACAAGGGCCCTAACCAGTTGAGGGCTATTCACAAGGGCCCTGCATCCGTTGAGGGCTATTTCCCTACTCTCTGAACCCCCGTTCACTTCACGTACTGGTACTCGTATTTTTTGTCCTTGCCCCCCGAATCCAAGGAATGATCCAATAGAACCATTATTCCATGCACTGGGTACATGTATTTCCTGCAACCACAGTAATGTCACTAGCTTCAGCTTTTAAACTCCTTCCTTCTTGCTAACTCCAGGCTATTAGTATGCGACGGCACCAAGGAGCAAGTTCCATCATGTGCTCTTATTAAATTTCCTTGTTGGAAATGTTATGCATACAACCAGCTGGGTAGATGAAATGGAAGCTAAGAGCTTTGTGAATAGATGCCCCACCCAAAAAAACATTCAATGGGTAAAGCCAGATCCAGAAAGTGACTAGAATTTTCCAGATCATGACAACTCCACAACTGTTGTCTGGCAATGGCAAGTACCGTAGTGGCAAATGATGTAACCTATACCGGTACCAGTACCGGTAGAAGTAACGTTGGGCTAGAAATTTTCTGCCTTGTTTAGTCTTGTCTTGGTACTGGTACAGGTACGACAGCTGTATTTTAAAATAGCACGATCGAGGGGACTTCAGTTTTTTGTCGCGTGAATTGACAGTATGGATGTACTGCCATGTTGAGTGCATGGTAGATTGTTTGGCTTGTCCGTAAAGGATGCAAAGCTTGTTGGCCCAAGCTCTCCATGTGCGAACATGCCGTAAATACGGGGTGATGGCATAACCGAACCAATCACAGTCGACTCAATGTTTTCTTCGCCGTATTCATTCACTCCTCTGGTGAAGCACGGAAACAGTCCTACATCACCCGTTGTTTTGTATCCTTTGGGGAGCTCCTGCAATAGCGATTTGGTAGCTTCAGCCGCATCACCTTTAAATGTCGCGACACCTGTCATCGCTCCCTGATTATCAGCTACCCAAAAATAGGGCACTTCGACGAGAGATATCTCATTTCCCTCTGTATTGACTTTCCAGCATTGCTTGGTAATTCCTCCATAATGCAAGGGAGCCTTGGCTTGCACAGCAGCCCAGCTTTTGCTCTGGTCAGCAACGACCATGAGGCTGGTACATCCTTGGGAAAATCATCCGTATGGCCGGCAATGGCACCGTCGTAATATCCAATAGCGACACAACCTTGGCCTCCACTGCCTCCACAACAGCCATATTCTGATCCACGGCCCTTCTCCATCAACTCCACATTTTGTTTCAGGTCTTGATCAAAGCCAAGGATCCCGTATGTCTCCGTGACGTACACCTTTCTATCCTGGATCTTTTCTTTGTGCTGTTTCAGCGAATCCAACAACGTTGCCTGATCCACCCCAAGGGACATGAGAACCAAAGCATCTGGAGGTTGAGGGGCCGTCAACAAACCAAGGCGACCAGCCAAGGCAGAGCCCGCTCCTTGGACAAGAAAGGATTGGATTCGATTCGATTCTCATGGCACTTTGGTGTTTGAGAAGATCCGCAGTTCGATAGAAACGATCGTGACCCAAAGGATACTATCCACGGTTGAGTCCAAAACCTTTCCCACGTTCTGGTTCGAATTCCCACAAAAATCTCGGTGAGATTTTCATGCACCCTTTGACCCCCCGCCCCTCGAGCCCCCAATCGCCATTGCTTTTGAAAACCAACTTTATTGTCGGGGCAGGTATCAACAGACTGCTACTGTACCAGAAATCTTCTGCAGACAGTCATACCGGTATGCCACACTCGAGCAAGATGGAAGAAGAAAACAGTAGCAAAAGAGGTTTGAGCACCGCTTTACCGGAGCAGCAGAAGCGAGCAAAACACTACAGCGATATTGGTAAGGATGCCTCAGACGCACTTTCACGTGTCTTAGAGCAACTCCAGGAGGAGAACAGCAACAGCAAAGCAGAAGCAGCACATCTGCTTGAGACTGCCTTAGCACTACAGGAACAGGTGAAGGCAATTGTCCATCAGGCAGGTAGCAATCTCAGACTAGTCCCAGAAGAATCATGTTTGAAGCATGGGGATATTTGGGTGAATGAGATTTTCTCTTTTCTTGGCATGGGTCAATTTGCCTTTGTAGCACCTGTCAGCCACAGAATGAAGGATCTCTACCAGGCTTATTGTGATTCTGTAGATTATCCTCCACTGGTGTTCAACGAAGATCATGAGATTGAACACAATTCTTCTTATGAAGAAGATCTTCAAGACGCCCAGTGCTCAGCAACCCCTTCTGATACTTTCTACGGTGCAATTTTCTCCTCTGTGCCCCGTGCAGAGTATTGGTACATCCACTGTGAAACTGGCGCGGGTGGACGTAATTTACTTAGTTGCACTGGCACCATTGTTTGTTCTACGGCTGCTAAGGTGGGCAGTCGACAAGTTCTTCAATGGGGGCGAAAGAAAAGATTTGGTTGGGATCAAAGAACATGTTTCAATGCTGCTGGAAATGGCCGTTTGGAAGTCCTCAAATATGCTCATGAGAATGACTGTCCATGGAATGAATCTACATGTTCTGGTGCTGCTGCAAATGGCCATTTGGAAGTCCTCAAATATGCTCATGAGGAGGGCTGTCCATGGGACAATAACACATGCTCAAATGCTGCTAAAAAGGGACATTTAGAAATCCTGAAATACGCTCATGAGAATGGCTGTCCATGGGGCAATACAACATGCTCAAATGCTGCTGAAAATGGACAATTTGAAATCCTGAAGTATGCTCATGAGAATGGATGTCCATGGGATGAAGGCACATGCAGTGGTGCTGCCGGGAACACTCATCTGGATATCTTGAAATATGCTCATGAAAACAACTGTCCGTGGGATTCCTACACATCTTCCAAAGCTGCACAGTACGGCCATTTGGAAGTTCTAAGGTATGCATTTGAAAACGGTTGCCCATGGAGTGACAGTATTGATGACAGTCTTTGGCTGGCTGATGAAGTAAAGGCCTTGATCCAAGAAAAGTTGTCACAGAGGAATGACTGAATCTCCTGCAGTTGGTGCCAGATTGCACAGGGGTGGTATTGCCCTATTTCCTTTGTTTGCATTCTTGGCTCTACATAGATGATTTTTGAAAGATCTGTACTCGATAACGTGTAGTCTTCCTGTCATGGATGTTGGCCGTCTCCCCTGCTGACAATGATTGCTATTACGACTATAGCTAGACCAAATCACGGTTGCAAGCCAAAGCATCGGTTCATTTTTCTAGCTGGCTGGTAATCGCGCAACTCAGCTCTCCTGTGCTGTTGCCGACACGATTGTCTCTACTAGTGCATGACACAAGTCATCCGAATCTTGTTTCGTGTTGGTGTAGGAGAGTGACACCCGGACCATGTCTGGCACTTGTGTCTGCGACGAATCCAAAGGTGTTGACGTGGCCGGTACCAAGCTCGTTTCAAAGTTGGCAGAGTCCAGCTTGGCCTTGAGCTCTCGGGATGGCATGCCGGGAATGTAAAATGTAACAATCCCACTGGCGGGAGGATGGTGGACCCGAATCTTTGGATTGTGCCGCAACAACCGTTGGTACAAGTCCTGCGCCAATGCCACTACTGTCGTCTCTATAGAGTCCATCCCCACGTCCAGGGCATACCGTATGGCTTTTCCCAAGCCAAGTTTGTTGGCAATATTGGATTCGTAGAATTCAAACCGGGCGGCCCCTTCTTTGGGTGCCAGTTCGAGAATGTCTTCGAGCGCACGTCCCGTGACAGCAGGAGGCACTCGCACAATGGGTACTCCATAGTGATCCACGTGATGTGGCATGAGTTGATTGGCAATGGTGCGAGGAATGTAGAGAAACCCGGTACCTCGTGGTCCTCGGAGGAATTTGCGTCCCGTGGCAACCAAGCCGTGACACTGGAGATTTGCGATATCCAAGTCCCGTTAGCCGGCCGATTGACAGGCATCAATCAAATAGAGACAGGATGGAACCTCTTGCAGAGTGTTGTTGTTGTTGTGGCCGTTGTGTTGCGCAATGACTTGTCCAATGGCTTCCACATCATTGACAATTCCAGAATTGGTGGGAATGTGGGTGATGCAGACCATGGCAATCGTAGCGGGATCCAAAGGTTGTTGTACAACAGTGTCGGTTCGGTAATTGTATTTGCCACGAAACATTTGCTGCAGAACCTCTAGATCGACACATCCCGTACTTGTTCCATCCTTGTTTTTGGAAGAGGTTATGGACAAGACGGTCCAGGCTGGCTCGTTGCTGCTGCTAGTACTATAGAGCCGCGAATGATCTTTGGCCCATTGACAGGCTGCCACGACATTGGCGGCATATTCCGCCTCGCTCACGAGAATGACACGCTGTTGTGGTTGTGGTTGTGGTTGTGGTTGTGGTTGTCGCTGATGTTGATATTGGACCATCGAATAGAATAATCTTGTCCACGCCACTGTAGCCGATTCTACCAATGCAATTTCATGAGTTGGATTGTACGTGTAGTTCTTTTCCTGGCAATTATTAGAAGGAAGATGCAAGAGTCGAGCGACACTCTGATACACCCCTGGTAGATTGGCCATTTCGGCCGCCGTGTAGCCCCCCAGTGTTTGCTCGAGTTTCATGTGATTCAAGACGGCTTCTACCACAGATGGTGGAGATGGGGATGCTCCAGCATGGTTAAACTGGATGATTCTTCTTGGTGGCACTGGGGTATCTGTTTCGGATGATGAGCTCATCATGGATCTTCTTGTCATTGCTTTCGGAACTCGTTGTTGTTTTGTGCTTGCAGCCTTGTTGCCGACACTCGTGAGAAGCGTACGACGAGGACTCCTTGGCAAGAGAGTAAAGGGGACCAGCAGAGCAGTGAAGACTCTCATACTGTAGCCGATGATTTCTATATACGTACCGGTACGGTTATGATGCTTTGTTGACTTTTGACCTGCAGTTGCAGCCGAGCTTGCGCCGAGATTATGGGGGGGTTAGGAGAGCGTTTGATTGTTTGGTATCTTTTGGATCTTGGGAGTTGGAGATAGTGTGCGCCCCGATAAGATCTTTCCAAACATCATCCTTGCGTCGAAGACACATTCCTCGATCACTGTCGACCATGGCGAGACCCTTGGAGAAGCCGTTTGCCGAGGCAACCACAACGCCGTCGTTGTATGGAAGAGGCACCGTGTCCATCTGTCGTCGAGGCAACAATGGATCCATCCTCGTGGCCGCCATAAATCGACCAAAGGTCAAAAATGCCTTGAATGACGACGTCTACGAGGACCTGATAGAAGTGTTGGAACAAGCCAAGAACGATCCCTCCATTGCGGCAGTGGTGTGGACGGGCGCTGGAACCTACTTTTCTTCCGGTGCCGATGTCAATGATGGGCATTTCGAAACTGCAAACAAGAAAAAGGCAGTCACAGAATCCATTCTCCAAAAACCGGGAGGCCGCTTCATGATTGCCATTGTTTCCTTCCCCAAAGTGCTCTGTGCGGCGGTGCAAGGACCTGTAATAGGCATTGCGGCCACGGCACTCATGCAATGTGATTTGGTATTCTTCTCCGATAAAGCATTCTTTTGGGCTCCCTTTTCTAGGTTGGCGCTAGGTAAGCTAGTTGGGCTAGCTACAGAAATTGCGCTTGCTAGCTATTTGTACGGTACCAGGTAGCTGGATTGTTGCAAAACTCTAGCATGGCCTAATAAATATTCGTCTGCTTCCTTTTATTGCATCACATGCATCATAATTTGTTCCCACAGTGCCAGAGCTAACTTCCTCCGCCACGTTTCTGGAGACCATGGGATTGTCCAAGGCGAACGAACTCCTCTTGTTGGGAAAACGCATCAATGCCCAAACGGCTCTGGAGTGGGGCATTTGCTCTCGCGTGATGAGCGACTGCGACACGGGAGGCGACCCATTTCATCCCCACAGTCTGGCCAGTCGTATGTGTGCCGAATTGGACCAAAACCTATTGTCGTTACCCAATGGGCATGCCACGGCACAAGTGTTTACCGATTTGGTCAAAGGAGCACGCCGTTCTCGCATGCATCAGGTACTCCTACGAGAGCTGGCAGTGTTGGATCAGAGGTTTCAAAATGGTGAAGTGGTAGAGGCAGCCAAGCAACTCGTCATTGGGGGCACCAAGAATAAAACACCGAGGAGTCGGTTGTAATGTAAAAAGATGTGAGGCTGTATCCATTGTAGAAAGCATGATCATCTCCCCATTCACATTTTTGTTGTGTTTGCTGAAATAGTTGGTGGTAGATTGCATCTTATCTGTTTGTGGCATTTCAAGCAACAGGTCCTGCCCGAGCACACTTTGGGGAACAAAATGAATGCCCAAACTTGTCAAACCCAGACCCCAGAATTCCACCGGCGCAATGGGCACACTTGGCAGCACTGGCTTCCTTTTGCGCTTTTAACGTGGCTTCCTTTTCTCGCAAGGATTGTTCCTCTTGTTCTTGTGCTTTTTGAGCCTTTTTTCGTTCCTTGGCACGTTTTCGTTTGGCCGCCTTGGCCGCTTTTTGTTTGGCTTCTTTTTCCAACTCTTCCTCTTTGGTTTTGGTTTCTTCTTCTTGCATTCGTTCTTGTGCGGCTGCCTGTTGTTGTGCATCTATTTGCTGCTTTTGTGTTGCTGCTTGTTTGATTTGTCTTTCTCGTTGCGCATCCTGTTCTTTTTGAGCTCGCTGTTGCAATCGTTCCCATTGCGCATTGCGCCATTGTTCAATTTCGGCTCTGGCACGAGCCATTTCGGCCTGTTCCTCTTGTTGTTTTTGGTGCCACTGCGATGCCTGGATACGTGCCTGTTCCTTGTCGTGTTGTCGTTGTTGCTTGCGTTGTCGTGCTTCCAGTTCGAGCTGGTGTTTGGCATATGCCAGAGCCTGCCGTCTCACCAATTCTTGCATCTCAGCCTCCTTGGCTTGTTGACGAATCTGTGCCAGGACTCGTTCATTGGTGGGATCCTGCTGGTTGTTAGTATTGTGTTGTTGTTCGTCCGACGATTGTGTGGAGAGCCGCGGAAAGGCATCTTGCAATTGCTGGTATTCTCGTTGTTCGGATTCAACCCGTACGGCATCATCGTCGTCAATGACCACCATTCCATAGCCGTCATCCTCTTCCGTATCTTGTGTTGTCGCAGGATTAGATCGATTCAAATCAAAGCCCAACGTCGTCGAACGTGAATCATCATTATTATTTCTACTAGTAGTAGTAGTACTCAGTTGTGTTTGTGCTTGTTGTAGTCTCTGATTGCGTTGTCGTTGCTGTGTTGGATAGACAAATAGACCCGACAAGGCAGCCGTGGCTTCACTGCGCAAAAAATCGGACCGTCGTTGTCGGGATTCTTCCAGTGCTGGATTGTGATTATGACTGCCATTACTAGTACTATGGGATCGTACTTGGACGGATTCTCTGAGAGCAAATGCTTCGAGCACTCCGAATCTGTGTTGTTGTTGCTGTTGTCCAGTACCATCAGTAGGATGACCATATTGATCCAAATACTCGTCCAATCGTTTGCAATCGTCATAGGACAGCTTGGTCCTTGTCAGGGGATTTTGAAATATGCCCCGTGATACAATATACGACGCCAAAGCTCTTCCGTCAAAGTAGTCATGATGCGTGTCATTGCTGCTCTTCAAAATAAAGGGAGGATACGGCAGCGAATTGACTGGCTCCAGGGTAATGGCACATTCCACTTGATCATCTAGACTTTGCCACCAAAATGGAGGCCTTGACATCTTTCTCTTACGGTAGTATATATCGAACTATCAGTCCACGCTCCTTATGTCAATGGCTCGGTTGCCGTACAGCAGGAACAACAACCCTACTGCATGGTTGGTTGGGTGGGTGTGTTGTGTGTTGGGCTTTGCGTTGTTGGGTGTTGGCAGCGACGTCTGGTGGGGCAGAGGTGATGTCATCTTTGCTTTAGCATTCGGAATGAGTGGATTTTGTCTTGCAAGTGCAAAGTGATGGTTGATTAAATCTCTGAGACCCGATCTGGGAATGAAGCGGTGACGTGGTCGTTCTTTGCATTCTTAGGCCCAATCCCCTCATTTTTTCTTCAAAATTGGGCTTCCGTTGCGTTGACACTCACTGCGTGGTGGCAACCTTGCCACGGTGGACAGGAACAGCTGCTCTCCAGGATATATCTTCCCAATAAGAGATTGTCCCAAGAAGAGACATCTCCCTTGGCTTCCTCTTCGTAGGTCATTTTTTAATAATCAAAAGAAGAACAAAGGAAACAATGAAGAAATTCGGATTGGTCTCGCTCCTCTTTGTGGCATGTGAGCACTGCCATGTAGATGCATTTAGCAGCAAAATCCAACCGACGGGTCGTCTCTACTGGGTGCCCACGGCTACAGCTACTGTGGTTCGGGCATCGACAATTCCTCAAGTGGAGGAAGACAGTGAGCAGCAAACGTCACTCAACAAACTTCAACAAGAAGTTGCATCTTCAGCTATTGTCACAACAGCAACAACAACCACTACTACAGAACCGCAATCTACATCTCCATTGGACGGATTGGCTGCAGTCCTCTTTGGTCAGAGTAGTAGTAGTGGAAGTCGTGAATACCAACGAGGATTGATTACCATTGGTTTCATTACCCTCTTGTTCTCTTCCAATTCACCCGTCTTGCACGCGGCATTCACATCATCATCGGGAAATGCTCCACCCGTCTTGTTGCTCAATGCGGGCGTCAGTGTTGTGGCATTGGTCGGACTATTATTGGGCGGAGAAACACTCGAAAACAACACGGAACTTCCCTCGAGTTTGTTGGAACAACAACAACAACTCAAAACGGGACAACCGCCCCAAGAACAATTCCTGGAACCTAACGACAATAATAATGGTCTTTCGTTCCTAAACAACATGATGGACGAGGACGACCAAAAAGTATTACAGGGAGGCTGCGAGTTGGGATTGTGGAAATTCCTGGGAACTACCGCCAACATTTACGGCCTTTCACTGACGACGGCAGCCCACGGGGCCTTTCTCATTCAATTGACCACTCTCATTGTCCCCGTCGTGCAGGGGATCATGGGTGTCCCCATTCCCAAACGAATTCAGTTCTCCATTGTATTGGCATTGGCGGGAGTTGTCTGCTTTACGCAAGATCCTACTGGTACACCCTCCTTGGTGGGAGATGTATTGTGTGTCATTGCCGCAGCATTTTATGCCACATACGACTTGCGACTC